TTTTCCTCAGTTTGTGTTAGTTTGGTAAGTATTATGTCTTTAGAAATCTGTCCATTTCTTCTAGATTTTCAAATTTGTTGGAGTACAGTTCTTTATATTATCTCAATATTATTGCTGAATTTGTTTCTTATTTGTGTTATTTGCATTCTCTCCCTCTTCTCCTTTGTTAAATTTGTCAGTGGCTTGTCAATTTTATTAATCTTTTCAATAAAACAACTTTTAGTCTTGTTGACTTTTTCTACATACAATCTATTTCATGTATTTCTGCTTGAATCTTTATTATTTCTTTTCTTCTGGTGACCACACCCTTTTTCTGCTGCTCTTTTACTAATGGTTGGAGAGGTTGAGTTAAGGTGTTGATTTTGGCTCTTTCTTTTTGATGTATGCATTTATTGCTATAAATTGCCCTCTTCTCACTGCTTTTGCTGTGTTCCAGATATTTTGATATGTTGTGTTTTCATTCTCATTTGACTCAAGGAATTTTTTACTTTCATTTTTTTTTCCCTTCTATTACCCAATATTTTAAGGAGGGCATTATTCAGTCTCCATATGTTTCCTCTTTTTCTATTGATCTTCCTATTGTTGATTTCTAAATGTATAGCATTGTGATCTGAGAAGATACTTTATAGTATTTCAATGTTTTTCAATTTATTGAGGCTTGCTTTGTGGTCTAATGTATGGTCTATCGTGGAGAATGTGCCATGTGCACTGGAAAAGAATGTGTATCGTGCTGGGTTGAGTGTTCTGTAGATGTCTATAAGTTCAAGTTGGTGGATTATTTGGTTCACTTCTGAGTCTTTTGAGAGTACCTTTCCAGTTTTATTTTCCATTGAAAGGGGTGTATTAATATCTCCTGTTATCACTGTGGAATCATCTATTTGTCTTCTCAATTCTGTTAAAGTCTGATTTATGTATTTTGGGTGCCTTCTATCAGGTGCATAGATATTTATTATGGTTATGTCCTCTTGTTCAATCGATCCTTTAATTATTATATAATGTCCTTCCTTGTCTCTTATTGGGGTTTTTGCCCTACAGTCAATTTTGTCAGAAATTAAATTGCCATTATTGCTCTGTTTTAATTACCATTTGCTTATCTTTTCCTAACCTTTGATTTTTAGTCTGTTTTTGTCTTTGTCTCTAAGGTGTGTCTCTTGTAGATAGCATACTGGTGGATTATGTTTTCTTATCTAGTATGCAACTCTCTGTCTCCTGAGTGGTGCATTTAATCCATTTACATTCGGTGTAATTATCGACAAGTATGAATTTGTTGATGTCATTTTGTTATGTGTTTTTTTGTGGTGTTGCTGATTTCTCTGATTTCTGTGCTGAGTTAATTTTGTTTATGAATTGTATTATCATGTTCCTTGTTGCCATTGTGTTACTATTTGGTAAATTTTTGTGCTTATTGTCTTTTTTATTTTGATGTGAAGGTTTATTATTTTTCTTTGAGGTTATCCTGTTGTTTTTGTTGTTGTTATGTGCTGTCGAATGGGGCCCGACTTACAGCGACCCCTCCTTGGGTTTCCAAAGTAGTATCACTATAGGAGTAGATTGCCTAAGCTTCCTTCTGAGGAGTGGCTGCTGGATTTGAACCGCCAGCCTTCTGGTTAACAGTCGAGTGCCTCAGGTACTATGCTGATTTATAATTTTCTTCCCAAGTTTAGAGCAATCCATTCTATTCTGCAACTGTCTTGACTTCCTCACCATTTAGAATTTCACTACTTTCTCCCTCTTTGATTTGCAGTTGTCCTCATTTGCCAGTTGATGTCTCTGGTTCTCTGTTTAAAGTTCCATAACCTTATTTTCACTTTGGGTACTTCCGTAACTGGTTGGTTTCTGGGTTATGTCATAATGTGTATTAATGGTCAGTTGCTGTTTGCTATTGTTGGTTCTCTGTCCAAAGGGCTCTCTTTGGTGTCTCTTGCAATGTTGGTCTGGTTTTCACAAATTCCCTAAATTTCTGCTTATCTAGAAATGCTGTAATTTCACCATCATATTTGAGAGACAATTTTCCTGGGTATATAATTCTTGGTTGAAAATTTTTTCTTTCAGGGTTTTATATATAACATTCCACTGCCTTATCACCTGTGTGGTTTCTGCCAGGAAATCCGAGCTCAGTCTTATTGGTTGCCATTTGTAGGTAACTTTTTGTTTTTCCCATGCTGCTTTCAGGATTCTTTCCTTGTCTTTGGTTTTGGTGAGTTTGATGATGATATGTCTTGGTGATTTTCTTTTGGGGTCTATCCTCTTTGGGGTTCATTTGACTTCTTGAATGGATATGTTCTTGTCTTTCATTGTATCAGGGAAATTCTCTTCCAACATATCATCAACAATTTTCTCTGTGGTTTTATTGGTCTTTTTCTGTTCTGGAATTCCAATTACACATAGGTTATTCCTCTTGGTGGAATCATGAATCTTAGGCTTTATTCATTTTGTTTTGATCTTTTTTCTGATTGATCCCTTACCAAAGCAGCACTGAGGTATTTGTCTTCAGTCTCACTAATTCTGTCTTCTACTGACTTGATTTTACTCCTTTGCTCATTCAATGTATTATCTATTTCTGAAATTTTAGTATTAATCTTCTGGATTTCTATGTAGATTTTGTACCATTTCTAATTTTTCATTTATTTTGTCATTTTATTCTTTTATTGTCTTCAGAAATTGTTCTAGGGTTTTGTCTGTGTTTTCCTTAATTTTCTCAGTGTTTCCCTTTGATCTATCTCTCAATCTGTTGAAGATACTTAAATATAATTCTTTTGAATTTCTTATTAGGGAGTTCCAATGCTACTTCTTCCTCGGGGATGTTTTCTGGGTCTGTAGGCTGGTCCATTGTTTCTACTGCTTTATCTTGCTTCTTTGTGTGGAACATGATGGTCTATTATCTCCAAGACATTGTGACACTGCCAAATTTATATTTGATTGGTCATTGTATGTTGATGTTATTCACCCAAGAGGTTTTTTTCTTTGTTTTAATATATCTGACTAAGCAGGACACTGTGCTCCTCTATTTGCTAGTTGGCAGCACTAATACACTCACCACCTATCTCCTAGCCGGTGTGACAGAGAATGAGAGTGAGTGCAAAGATCTCTGTTAGCTTTACGTGAAGAGCAGTTAAGAATGAATTGGGCTCATATTGTCTATCGTGTATTGTGTATCATGGATATCAACATTGGAGAGTTGCTGCAGAAGCAAGTGGTGACCCTCACTCAGCAGGTGGGGCTAGAGGAGGTGCAGATATGGTTGGGTTGCATGTGCATGGTTGGTGTCTTCCACTCAGTTAGACAAAAACAGCAATCACAAAAAAACACCAAAAGAGTAAAAACAAGAGGATAAAAAACACACACCATATCACATACACACAAAAACACACAAACATACACAGGAACAATCACCAAAAAGAGAAAGACTAAAAAAACAAGGGCAATAAATGAGAAGAAATATTTAAAGAAATACTTTATGACCTAAATACAAGAGATGAAGAATGGCCATTCTCACTTCTAAGAATTTTGGCTGTAATTTCTCCAAGAAAACTTTGTCCATGGTACGATCAAAATTTTTCGTCAATACTACAATTCAAATGCATCAATTCTGTGGTCTTCCTTATTCACTGTCCAGCTCTCACATGCATGAGACTACTGAGGGTCAGGTGTACTTTAGTCTTCCAAGTGACATGTTTGCTCTTAAACACTTTAAAGAGGTCTTTTGCAACAGATTTTTCCAATGCAACACATCATTTGATTATTATTCATAACAGCCAAAACTGGAAATAACCCAAATGTCCATCCAGCTGATAAATGGATTAAATAAAATGAAGTATTATTCAGGCATAAAAATGAATAAATACATGGTACAATACAGATGAACTTTGGAAACATTATGCTAAGTGAAATAAGCCAGTAATAAAAGACCATATGCATGATTCCATTTATACTAAAGGTCCAGAACAGGCAAACTTACAGAGACAGAAAGTGGTTGTCCGGGATTATAGGGAAAGAATAATGGGGACTGACAGCATACTGGTATGGGGTTTCTTTACTAAAGTAACGAAAATGTTCTGGAATTAGTGATGATGGTTACGCAATTGGTAAATATACTGAAAACCACTGACATGTACTCTTTAAAAGGTGAATGATATGACATTTGAATTATGTCTCAATAAAAAGAAAAAATAATCTAATAAAAAAATTAGTCAGAATGGTCTCTATCTGAAATTAGACAAATAGCAGTATCCTCACCTGCTCATAGATCTCAATTGCTTTCTGGTACTGCTCTAGCTGGGCAGCATAAGCTGCTACCTTCAGTAGACACTTGTTAGCAGAACTGAAATCAAGAACCAGAGGTAGAGTAAATAACAATCCAACAGAAAAATAAAAGATGTGAGCATGAACCCCAATAACTCTTTTGGTACAAACACTAAGTACATTATGTAGAGCATAATAAGATCTGTCTTTTATCACACATAATATGATGTAGTTATCAAGGAAAAAAATACTTGCCTGTTGGATTCTTCTCCTTTGTAATAATCAGCAGACTGTTCATAATGTGCAATAGCCTGAAAACACACACATTATTTTATTCACAAACTATTTGCTTAAACAGATATATTTAAAAACTACATTTGCACAGCTTTTTTTTTTTTTAAATAAATAACCTATTCCAACAGCGAAATTTCCACAATCTTGAACTACTTCATTTAGGGAATATAAGAAAGCATGCACCATTTGGGAGAATACAGTGTGGTGGGCTTTAACACAAATGACCCAAATGCAATCTAGACCTAGTCTCCTATGTGCTACTCTATAGTGCCAGACCACAATGAAGGACAGACTTCAGCTAGGGGGTAAAGGGAGAACAAAACAAAAAGCAAGAAAGCATGCATCTCTTTAAGCCTCCTGATGGCTCATGCTCACGCTCCATCAAAATCTTTCTCACAGTAACAGTGCAGTGGCTAAGAATGGCTGCCAAGCTATACCATTATTTCTCAGCCTCCACTGCAATTAGGACAGCAATATGACTGAGTCCTTTCCAATAAAATGTAAACAGATCTGCTATGGGCCACTTCCAGGTTTGGCATATACATGTGCTTTGCATCCTTCTCCACGTTTTTTCCCCTTCCCATGAGCTAGAATTCCACCAGTCATCTATCAGTTTGTCGTACTGTGGTGGCTTGTGTGTTACTGTAAGGCTGGAGGCTATGCCACCAGTATTTCAAATATCAACAGGGTAACCCATGGTGGACAAGTTTCAGTGGAGCTTCCAGACTAAGACAGAATTAGAAGAAGGAAGGGGCCATTCACTTCTCAAAGAACTGGCCAGGGAAAATCTTATAAATAGGAGTGAAACAATGCTGATATATTAGTGGAAATCTTCATGAAGAACCCTGAAAAAATGTCCGATATAGTGCCGGAAGATGAGCCCCTCAGGTTGGAAGGCACTCAAAATACGAGTGGGGAAGAGCTGCCTCCTTAGAGCAAAGCTCACCTTAATGATGTGGAATGGAGTAAACCTTTCAGGACCTCCATCTGTTGATGTGGCATGACTCAAAATGGGAAGAAACAGCTGGAAATACCCATTAATAATCAGAACATGGAATGTACAAAGTATGAATCTAGAAAATGTGAAGTTGTTAAAAATGAAATAGAATGCATAAAGATCAACACCGTAGGCTTTAGTGAGCTGAAATGGACTGGTTTTGGCCATTTTGTATCAGACGATCCTATGACCTACCATGCTGAGAACGACAAATTGAAGAGGAATGGCATGGCATTCATCATCACAAAAAATGTTTCAAGATCTATCCTGAAGTACAATGCTGTCAGTGATAGGATAATATTTATATGCCTACAAGAAAAACCAGTTAATATTACTATTACTCAAATTTATGCACCAACCACCAAAGCCAAAGATGAGGAAATTGAAGGTTTTTACCAACTTCTGCAGTCTGAAATTGACCAAACATGCAAATCAACATGTGTTGATTATCACTACTGATTGGAATGCAAAAGTTGTAAACAAAGAAGAAACACTGGCCATTGGAAAATAAGGCCTTGGTGATAGAAATAATGCTGGCGATCACATGATAGAATTTTGCAAGACCAACAACTTATTCATTACAAATACCTTTTTTCAACAACATAAACAGCAGTTATACATGTAGATTTCCCCAGATGGAGTACACAGGAGTCAGACTGACTACATCTGTGCAAAGAGGAGATGGAGAACCTCGATATCTTCAACCAAAACAAGGCCAGGGCCTGAATGCGGAACAGACCATCACTTGCTCATATGCAAGTTCAAGATGAAGCTGCAGACAATGAAAACAAGTTCATGAGAGCCAAAATATGATCTTGATTATATCCCTCCTGAATTTAGAGAACATCTAAAGAAGAGATTTGATTCACTGTGCACCAAAGACCGAAAACCAGAGGAGTTGTGGGATGACATCAAGAACATCATTCATGAAGAAAAAGGTCATTAAAAAGACAGGAAAGGAAGAAAAGTCAAATGGATGTCAAAAAAGAGACTCTGAAACCTGCCCCTGAACCAAGAGTAGCTAAAATAAATGGAAGAAATGACAAGATAAAAGACCTGAACAGAAGATTTCAAAGAGTAATCTTGAGAAGACAAAGTCAATTATTATAATGAAATGTGCAAAGATCTAGAGTTAAAAACCAAAAGAGAAGAACACGCTAAGCATTTCTCAAGCTGAAAGAACTGAACAAAAAATTCAACCCTCAAGTTGCAGTACTGAAAGGTTCTCTGGGGAATATTGAATGATGCAGGACACATCACAACAAGATGGAAGAAATACAGAGAATCACTACACCAAAAAGAATTGGTCGATATTCACCCATTTCAAAAGCGAACCAAACCAAACTCACTGTCACTGAATCAATTCAACTCATATTGACCCCTCCTTTGGTTTCGGAGGTGGTACCTCTAAGGAAGTAGATTGCCCAATCTTCATTCCAAGAAGTGGCTGGTGAGTTTGAATCACCAGGCTTCTGGTTAGCAGTCAAATGCCTTAGGCACTATGCCAACTGAGTTCCCTAATCCATTTCAGGAGGTGCCATATGATCAAGACCCAATGGTACAGAAGGATGAAGTTGAAGCTACCCTGCAGGAATTGGCAAAGAACAAGGCTCCAGGAATTGACGGAATACCCACTGAGATGTTTCAACAGGTATCACGCTGGAAGCACTCAGTTGTCTATGGTAAAAAATTTGGAAGACAGTTACCTGGACAACTGACTGGAAGAGATCTATATTTGTACCCATTCCAAAGAAAGGTGATCCCACAGAATGTGAAAATTATTGAAAACTACCATTAATATCACATGCAAGTAAAATCTTGCTGAAGATAATTTAAAAATGGTTGCAGTAGTATATTGACAGAGAACTTCCAGAAATGCAAGCTGGATTCAGAAGAGGACACAGAACGAGGGATATCATTGCTGATGTCAGATGGATCTTGGCTAAAAGTAAAGAATACCAGAAAGATGTTTACTTGTGTTTTATTGACGATGCAAAAGCAATCGATTGTGTGCATCATAACAAGTTATGGATAACATTGAGAAAAACTGGAATTCTAGAACAGTTAATTGTACTCATGAGGAACCTGTACATAGACCAGGAGGCTATTGTTCATACAGAACAAAGGCATACTGCATGGCTTAAAATCAAGAAGGGAGTGTGTCAGGGTTGTATCCTTTTACCATACTTTTTTAGTCTATGCTGAGCAAATAATCTGAGAAGCTGGACTACATGAAGAAGAGTGTGGCATCAGGATTGGAGGAAGACTCATTCACAACCTGTGATACACAGATGACACTACCTTGCTTGCTGAAAGTGAGGATAACTTGAAGCACTTACTGATGAAGATTAAAGACTACAGTCTGCAGTATGGATTACATCTCAGCCTAAAGAAAACAAAAATCCTCACAAATGGACCAATAAGCAGCATCACGATAAATGATGAAAAGATTTAAGTTGTCAGAGACTTCATATTACTTGGTTCTACAATCAACACCAAGTAGCAGTCAAGACATCAGATGATGTATAGCATTGGGAAAATCTGCTGCAAAAGACCTCTTTCAAGTGCTGAAGAGCAAAAGATATCTCCTTGAAGACTTAAGTGTTCCTGACACAAGTCATAGTATTTTCAGTAGACTCATAGGTATGTGAGAGCTGGACAATGAAAAAAGAAGATGGAACAAGAGCCGATGCTTTTGAGTTGTAGTGTTGATGAAGAATACTGAAAGTACCATGGATTGCTAAAAGGACTATACTAACAAATCTGTCCTGGAAGAAGTGCAGCCAAAACACTCCTTGGAAACGAGAATGGCCAGACTTCATCCCATTCATATTGTCAGAAGGGACCATTCCCTGGAGAAGGAGAGAAGGATATCATTTTTGGTAAAGTGAAGGGTCAGCAAAGAAGGTGAAGGCCCTTAATGAGATGGATTGCCACAGTGGCTCCAACGATGGGCTCAGGTATACAGAGGATAGTGAGGCTGGCACAGGACTGGGAGCTGCTTCATTGTACTGTGCATAGGGTCATTATGAGTCAGAGATGACTCGATGGCACCTAACAACAACAACAATGCGAGCCAGAATTGTAACAACTAATCACAGAGTGGCAATGGAAGCTACAAGTTGATGTCAGAACTTCTGTCAGTTTGGTTCCTAAATAACTATTAAGGATAGAAGGTACCAGACCTCAGTGTCCCTACCACTGCCAAATCCAGAACAGCTTCACTGGCCTGTCAGGTAAAGGAGATATGAACACCTATTACATTTTAGGTCTACAACTGGCTACAGCAATATAGATTATCCTCATTGATACTATAAGTGTTGTTTAATAAGGGGGTTGCCTTCACCCTAAAATGTGTGGCATTGAGTTAACGGTCAAGTGGAGAGGAAACAGGTAGGAAGCTGGAAAGTTAGAAATCCCTATCATGCTGTAACAGAAGATTTGGAAGTCAAGCACGTGACAACTTAGGAAGCAAAGCATGTACCTACCTGAGCCCAAAATGCTATGGAAAGTAAATTAGCCAGTTTGCAGGCAGTTAAGAAAGCAAATAGACAAAGTCCAGAGATAAGGCCCTCATATGATTGGAAAAGGCAATGACACCTGTATACCAAATGGCAGTAAATAAATCTAAACAACACTTTAAAGCAAGGTTCAGGAGATTTTTAATGTAACATGCCAGATAATAAATATTTTGGGATTCATGGGCCACAAATATTTAGCCCTGTAGCTGGAAAATGAAAGCAGTCATAGACAATATGTAAATGAATGAATGTGACTGTGTTACAATAAAGCTTTATTTATGGACAACGAAATTTCAATTTCACATAATTTTTGCTTGTCAAGAAGTATTATTCTTTTGTTCCCCCAATGACTAAAAATTATAAAAATAATTCTAGATTGTAGGAGTATGGAAACAGGTGGTAGGTTTACAGATTCACCTTAAATAGTAAAACCAAATGAAACGAAAGCAAAACAAATCGATCGCCCTCATGTCCATTCAGACATGTTTCCCAGTAAGAC